CCTCTTGGTTCTGGCCTTAGCCTTCGTCCTCCCTCAGCTCGGTGGGTAGGAATTTATACTGCTGTTGGCGGATCTGGGCTAGTTTTTTCCTTGCTTCTTCCAGTTCTCGCTCTTTCTTCAGCATTTCCTCCTGGGCGGCGATGATCTAGAAGCAAAGCAACAAGCTGGATGGATCTGAAACTTTTTAGGAAACTGCCCTCCCCTCCACTGCTTGCCTCATGAGCTCCCACAGCCTCTGCTACAGTGGGACACAGCCATGTCCCGGGACTAAGTATTCTTAGCTCTGGAGACCAGCCTCCGTGCCACAGTTCGGGTTTTGAGACCAACGATCCAAGACAGTAAGCTGACTTCCGGCCACTGATTTAACAGCAAATATATACTGTGTCCCTATGATGCAGCAGGCTCTGGTGTAAGCACTTTACACGGAATGTCCCATCATCTTCATGGCAACACTGTGAAGTATGGCCTATTGAATGTCCCATTTTTCCAATGAGAAAGCTGAATCTCAGAGATGTGGGTCCGCTTTCCTGAAGGGACCCATCTGGTGGAGCAGGACCCGGCCCAGGTATTCTCGAAGCTAAAGCTGGAGTCCTTAACTACTAGATGGCTTTCATATATTTATTTCATGCTTCTAAGGTGTGATCTGAGGAATATTAGTTAATAGGTATAAAGGGGAAAGGGGAAGTCTGTGCTCAAGGAAGTCAAATAGATTTCTGAAAAGCAAAGGTCTTTTCAGAGCCTTGCTAGACTAACGAGCATCGTGATATCTGAGGAGGGAGTACAGAAGTCAGTGATTCCCAGAACTGTTTGATCAGAGACCCTTCTTCATGGAACTTCTCATGGAACTAGTGTATCAAGAAGCAGATTCTGGTAAAAATGCATCCTGGGTATTTCCAAACACAGGGAGTGGTTCAGGAAGAGCTAAGGAAGGCATGGGAATGAGTAAGTTCAGCCACGGGGCTTCAGTGCTCCTGGTGGAAAACCAATCTCATATAAAGGATTTACATTAACACATCCCAAAATGCAAGCGTGGTTTCCTGACCTTTCCACCCCACTCTCATGCACAAGAATGCAGGCCTGCGTAAGTCAGATTCTCATCCACACTTGTAAAACTTCTGGGAGAGGGTCATCGTTCATTCTTTCTCTAGGGCCAAAAATCTGCAGTGAGTAGCAGCTCCAAATGCATCATTTTATTTAAATGATAATATTGCCATCCTCCAATTCTCCTCTCTCCCTTTTCTGTAACAGAATCCCTGATTTTTAGGTAGGTACACTGCTACTCAGAAAAGAATACTCCATTTCCCTGCCTCCTTTGCAGCTAGGCTGGCCACGTGATGAAGTTCTGACCCATGGCGTGTGAGAGCAAGTGATGCAGACGACTTCAGAGTCACGCCCGCCCTAACCTTCCGTCTTCATGCTGGCTGGAAAACGGAGGTGGTTATCAAGCCATCTTAGACCAAGATGTTGCCAAGGCAACATCTCAGGGACGGTGGAGCGGTAGGCAGCTGGAGTCTGGGTCTCAGTCACAAAGAAGCCGCCACACCATCCCTAGACTGCTTACACCCAAGCCTGTCTCACCAGGGAGAAATAGACTTCCATCTTGTTTAAGCCACTGTTATTTTGGGTCTCTGTTTTCACACAGTGCTCATCTGGGGAGTAAACGCTGTCTGGATTTAATCACACACCTGAGCAATGCCCCCTACAAACTTTGTTTTCACTACAACATCATCGTCATCGGCTTTGCCAAATGCTGCCTTCTGGGCTGCACGCACAAGATTGTCTGAGGCTCTTTTCACAGCATTTCCTGCTGCCTGGAGAGGGGACAAAACACACATTGTATCATTGGAAACAGCCATTTGGATTCAGCAAGACAGACGTGGAGGCACAGTTCATGAGACTATGAATTGATTTATCATCCGATTGTATGTAACACAGAATTTCTCTCTAGGTAGTATCCATTTGTCCATCCATCCATTGATTCTACCAACACTGGCACCTACCTAACCTTAGCTCATTCGCAGGTTAATGAGACACATTTCCTGGCTCCCAGGGAACACGCACTTCTCAGGGGAATTACAATTATGTGAATACACGATTATAGCACTCTGATATGTGTGTTAACAGAAACTTGCTCAGGGGCTGCACCCTTGGTTAGAAAGCCACCTCCCCTTGCCCCATCCCACTGAGGCATACTTGAGGACTTGACTCAGAGATCACTTTTTCTGTCTGTCTTAGCCTTCCCCACACCCTCCCAAGTGCTCCTGGAAAGCTCCCTGCTGGCTTCTTTGCAGCCCTCACCACACTTCTGGTTGCCTCTCTTCCTCCTGGACAGTGAACAACTTGAAGGCAGGGGCTGTGATTTCAATCTCTGCATCCCCAGCACCGGGCACAGTGGCTGCCCAGGGCTGGGGGCTCACTGAACGCTTTCAGAGGGAATTAAGGGCTATGAAAGCACAACCTACCCCTGCACAGAAGGAATGGGAGCCCCACAGTAACTAGGGCCTTTACGGATGTGCTTTTAGAGTCACAGCTGGCTTCATGCCGCACGGTCAAGGATGGGGCGAGTGCCAGACACACTGCAGAAGAGCTTGTCCACGTGCAGCCTAGATCTTCAGCAAGGGCTACAGCCCCCATTGGTTTACTCTTAATGCTCAAAAAGCATGGCCCAGGGGACTTGACCTCTGCCACCTGAGGTCTGGAATTTCCTTTTCACGGTGGTCATGGCTTCGTTAAATCTCCCATAGTCCTTGCCCAGCCCCCTGAGAGTCAAGGACTTGGTCTTGGGGGTGAGCCATCAGAAAGTTGAGAGTTTTCTCATTCAAAGTTAACTGGCTCATCTGGTTGGTGATCTAAAGCGGCCAAGGGGGACCACGAGGGCTCACGCAAGAAGGGGAGGGGAGGCCCATTAGCACTTGACGTCATATGCTTATTCTCATCATGTGCTTACTCTCAAAACAGTTTTATGAGGTCAGAAATCATTAGCCCACTTTTCTACGTAGAAAGTGAGGTTGAATAACTAATCTAAGATCCTGCAGCTGGTAAGTTATAGAGCTGCGATTTGAACATAGGCCTGTGTAGCCCCAGAGAACCTCTGGGTCATTGTAAGGGATTCACACAACATTGCAGCACCCACATAAATCAGTAATGATGATAATAAGAGTGATGCTGGGTTGTATCTGTGTAAATCCTTAGGACTTACAAAAGCACTTTTACATTTCTGACCCTCATAAGAGCCAGTGCAGGCATCTCTATCCTCATTTTACAGACATGGCAACTAAGGCCTGAAAGGTTTGGAATGACTTGTATAAGATAATGCACTTTGTACATAGTAGAGGCAGGTCTTGAACCCACGTCTCTCTTAACTCAGGGTGTTTTCCAAAGGAGTGTCGCCCAAATCCATGAATCGCACATTCACAAACACGCAGCTCCCCGTTTTCCCCTGGGTTTATGCCAGGAGGAAAATGAAGGTGAGGGAGGTGGGTCAGAGAGAGACACACACAGGAAGACCGAACAACGGCCATGCACTTTACAACTTAGGAAATACGACGAGAGTCCCGAGTTTCAATGGGATTGTTCAAATATTACTGCCATTTATGATCTTACATAAACATTTTTAGCAACATAAACAATCTGCATTACATTTATTAGAGTAACAAACATCTAGAAAATTGGAAACAAATATATCCAACGTATAGAGAAATTCTGGCATAATCAGTTGATATAATATCATGCAATCATTAAAAATGAGACCTATGAAGCAAGAACCACTGAGCTTTGCACAGGGCCATTAGGAAGACTTTTCTTCAAGGAAAAAAAAAGTATGATAAAACGTGAAGTGAAAAAAATGCAGAATGTCTCTGTTAGGATGACAACTAGACAAAAGTATTTTGTGTAAGATAAAAACAGGAAGAGAAAAAAATAGCACTGGACATGTGAAGATGGTGAAGCTATGTGATCTTTTTCATTCCAACATTTCTTTCACTGTGCTTGAAATACACAATCAGGAAAACTGAGATCCACTGGGCAGAACTCAAGTGACACCTTCATAAGTGTGTTCTCTGGGCTCTGGGAAACCTTAGCAGCATCTCATATAAATTCCTCAGTCCTTTTGCTCCCTCCTTAAGCAAACACTGAATGAGAGCCTCCACTGAAACAGGTACCATCTTAGGAGTGAGAGACACAAAGATAAAGATCTGGTACCTGCACCTAAGAAGCTCACAGCCTTGTCAAAGGCGGACTAAAGATAAATGTGGTGGTACTGGGTGACAGGAACTGCAAGACTGGTCTGTCCAAAGGCTATGGCAGGGCAGAAGAGGGACTGACTGCCCAAGGTCTGGGATTCAAGGAGGGCTTCCCAGAAGAGATGACTTTGGAGATGAGTCATGATGGATGAGTAGGAGCTCACCAAGGTTGGGCTGGTGCGGGGAGGACCCCAAGGCATGAGACCAGGAGGCACGCGTGGAGCACGTCAGTTTGGTGGCGTTGAAGGGGTAGGATGCATGGCTGCACGTGGCAGGAAATGAGAAACGTGGGACAGAGCTGGCTGATGGAAGGCCTGGTGGGTCATGCCAAGGAAGCGAGACCGCCGCCTTTGGCAACACTTACCCGCTCCAACAGGAGTGTTTTCCCACCAGCATCAGTGACCATTACCTGAAGCCGCCTCATGGCCTCCGAATCCTGATCAGCCTTCACCTTGCAGGCCACAAGCAGCTGAGCCGTGGACGCGGCAACCTGCTTGGCGGATGAGATGAGCTTCTCCTCACTGGCGTGCCCCTGCACAGAGGCATTAGCCGCCTCGCAGAGACTGCTGGTCGCAGCTGCCACCATCCGGGCCTGGGGACAGTCAACAGAGAAGTGACTTGAGGCCCAAACCTCCTGCAGGGGATCCAAAAAGCCAACGGGGAAGGAGTAGGGGGCAACTCACGGCAGAAATCAGGCCCTGTGACCATTGTCCGTCATCTGCGGCGTTGGCGGGGATGGAGCCCACCTAGAGTGGAGTATGAAAAGCAGCAATGAGAGCGGGAAGGCACAGGGTGACCTGCAGCCCCCAAACCCTACCTTGCCCTGGATTTGGAGAGAAAAGCATCTCATCAGACATGCAGCACCTCCCTGGGACTCTTGCCAACAGCACTGGCAGGAGAGTGCAGCACCCTTTCCCCTGCAGGACGCCAGCAGCTCCAAGACTGCATGTCCTGACCGGTTTCCACCTGGGCCACAAGGAGGCGACCAGAAACGCTCTCAACGACCTCCATTTCACTGCCAGGTACCGTGTTTCTGGGAAAATGGCTCAGGAACGATGGATGGGGCTATCTTGACACGCCTATTTCCTCTGCTGACCTTTCTCCATCTCCAACATGGGAGCCCCTGAGGTCTCTTCATTCAAGAGGTGAGGGAAGCTTAAATCTCTCCTGATTCCTGACCCTGGAAGCCACGCTGTGACTTTCTGGCAGATGATGTTAAAAAAGGGGGTGGGTCTCTCTCTGTACAATTGAGCACAGATCCTCGCCTTAAGGAAATACAGACTATTTTTTTCAGGGGTGGGAAGAGAAGTAAGAAGCTGGAAGTAAGACGTTCCCCGCTTCTGTTTAGGAATTGTTGCAACAGTGAAACATTTTCTGACCAGATGTAGAGGGAGCTACAGGAGGAAACACCTTTACACATGTGGGAGGTGCCTGGAGAGGTAAGAGATGAGTATCTAAATTTGCCTATGAAAGTGGGGATCTGTCAGCACATCAGGGCATGCTGAAGGTCAGGTAAGGCCCCAACGTCCTGCATATCATCTATAGTTCCCCAGGTCCAGCTGCACCTCCGTTACCAACTTTTTAAATGCTTGAACGCATAAGTTCCTTGGAGGACAGGGGCTGGGCCATAGTCAAGTTCGATTCTCTAGTATCTAGCAATGTGTCCAGCACGTAGATGGCTCTTTAATCCATGTGCAAATAAACCAAAAGTTTTAGGTAGGATGTTCTTCTCAATGATCCATTTTTGGTCTTTACGTATCGACTAGTCAACAAGTCCTAGGTGATTGAGGTCACCACTCTTCTAGATCTACAGGGGATAAGTGAGAAGCATAAAGGGACAGATTCATGCTGGTTGGGGAGATGTACATACATCGATATTGGATACACAATGGTTTAGAAAGAGGAAACAGTGGACGTAGGTTGGATTAAGGCACAGTTAAGCTCACAAGAGACTTCATAGAGGAAGAGGGAAGGCCACCGGCTGCACATAACTATCTGTATTACAAGTTCTTAGGTCAATGGGACTTCCTTCGTGGCGCAGTGGTTAAGGCTCCGCAATCACAACGCAGGAGGCCCAGTTTGATCCCTGGTCAGGGACCTAGATCCCACATGCATGCCACAACTAAAAGTTCATATGCCACAACTAAGGAGCCCATGTGCTGCAACTAAGGAGCCTGCCAACGCGACTAAGACCCGGTGCAACAAAATAAATAAAATATATTAAAAAAATGATAAAAACAAAAACAACCAAGAAGACACAATCACATCCGTCATCTGTACACTGAGAGCAAAGGCCTTTTAACATCAAATATAAGTGACTGACAGTTACAGTGACCAAATTTCCCAAAGCTGGCAGGATTTCCGTGGTGCCTCTATGACTGAGAGGCTTCTCTGCAAGATGTAACTTGGATGTGGTGGTTCCACGTTGTATGGGAATAATAGGACACAAGGAGTATTTTAAATTGGAAGGCCTTTTCACATCCAGGATTAGTCTAATGTACTCTTAATCCTTTGGATCACTGAAAAAGAACTAGGCTTTCACGCTAATGCAGATGGAATCGGTGACTGGAGATGAAGCAGGTCGAAGAACTCTCAGCTTTAAAACCAGACCTGCCTTTTGTCCAAAGGGCTAAGGAAAATGCTAACTGCAGAGTTGGACGGCATTCAGCTCAACAGTCCTAAGGAAAGGAAGGGCGTCACTGGAGCTGGACGTGGTATTATAAAGCCCCTGACTACGGTGCTTATATAGCCATCCACCAGGAAAATATGAGTTTACGGCTTTAAATAGCCTAATGTACGGCGGGGAAAATAAATGTCTTGTTCAGGCCCTGATGGCTGCCTGGAGTGGAAGCTCTCCTTAACAAGAAGCAGATGACAGGCCTGGAAGCTAAACCCTTCATTCTGTCTGCCAGGCTGAAGCAAACAGAGTATCCAATGATATGGGCAAAGCCAGGCGAGTCAGGGAGGGAAGGGGCGGCACGGCTTCCTTGGTCAGGACACAAGCGGTATCGCCTTTTTCTTAGTATTCAGAGGCTCTTGCTGTGTGAACTTTCCACCACTTGGCCAGTGGGGTTTACACACCTTTCCTTGGGCCACCAGCTCCCTCTGGGCTGCCGAGGCCGATTTGACCAGGGCACTTGTGGCAGCAGCAATGGATTTAGCAGCTTCCAAGATCTGTTCTTCAAAATCCAGGGTCTCATCCGCTTGCTATAACCAAAAGAAAACAGCATCACATGCAATTCATATCCCCAAAGGGCGCTTTCTGCTAAATGACTTACTTCTTGGTCACCTGGCTCTTCCTCCGTGCGTGGATTTTTATCGACAAACCACACCCAGGGTAGAAAGGCTGCAGCTGGCTGGATGCCTCTCCATCTGCTGCCTCCCCCCACCCTTCTCTAAAAGATAAAACCCGCCAGCATTGAGGTTCCTTACAAAGTTCAAATCAGGAAATTCAAAGACAGACTCTTTTTCCAGACCAGAATCTTTAAAAACACATCAATTCACTGGGAATAAAATGCATTCGAAGGGTTCCATTAGCATCAATAACCCAAATCAAAATAATCAATAATTGAGATCCAAAGAGTGGGTGGTGGCACACTATCCCACAACTCAAGGCTCAGAAAAGTGGGTTGAGAAAACAAAAGATGGCTATTAGCTGTGAAAAACCTTATTGCTCTTGGGTGAAAACAAAAGTAAAACAGAATTTGCATTTCTGTGGCTGAGCAGAGAGTCACACGCCAACCAGAGATCACCAGTGGTGGAGAAGAAATTGGGGCAACGCGACATCAAGGTGGAGCTTCCCCCTTGGAAACCCGAGGCACAGCTCCACCTGGGGAAGAACACTGGCTCCCCACCCCCACCCCCACCGCACAGGTACTATCAGGCTCTGCTGCCAAACGCCTGGGATGTTGAAAAGAATCAACATCAACAAAAGAACCAACTTTCGGGAAGGTGGGCAAGTGTAAAGACCCTGGTCCCAGGCTGGGTGGGACGGAGCATCACAATACGGGGTAGTCAGACTAGATGACCGCCAAGGTCCCCCACCAGCAATATTGCTCTGTGAATCTAAGCCAGTATGGTTAAGTGCCCCTTCGGTCACAGAATGCCGAAGATGTGGCTGGTACCTTTCAGGCATTAAGAGATGATGGTCAGGTACAGCAATACTTTTCTTTGTGTGTGTCGGTAAAATATATATAACACAAAATTTACCCTTTGAACCAATTTTAAGTATGCGATTCAGTGGCATTAAGTACATTCCCAATGTTGTACAAACAGCGATACTTTTTAAGAGCGCCTGCTATGTGCAGGTATTTTGTTAGGCACTTCCACGTGCATGAACTTGTTTAATCCTCACCAAAAAAGAGACTAAAAATCGTATATAGTAGTTATCTTTATCCTTATATTTATAATGGGAACATGCAGGCTTAGGGAGGTGGAGCATTGGGCCAAGATCATGTGGCAGTGTGAAGAATCTAGACCAGATCTAAACCTAAACTTCTCTGCCTCCATCATGATATGTTCTTCCTAGATGAGGCCACCAAGTTGGGCATCAGTGAGGAGCGACTTCATGCTGGAGGCTCAAAGTCGGCTCACTAATGGGCCCATATGAACCATCAGACGGGATGGATACACAGATACAATGCTTTTCCAGTTCCCTATTCTTTATGGCATCTCTCCTGGTTCAAGATGTGGCCATTCCTACTTTTGTTTTTATAACCCATGTTATCAGAAAAACATTTCCGAGCACATCTAGTGGAACTGAAGAATAACAGCAGCATTTGAGACGTTCTGAGACAGAAGCAGTATCTCTTTCCTATTTCTGACAAAGTCTTGCTCTAGGAGCATTTAGGACAGATATGGATTCCGTTCCAATAGATTAATTTTGGATTCCTCATTATGGGGCGGGGAAGCTTGTGACAGTGGTGAAATACAAAATTTGTTCACTGAAACATAAAATGACTCATTTTAAGACACTCTGGCATAAAAGGAACTGTTATACATAAGCCACAAGAAATGGCATTGGGCTGTGATAGGTATATTCAATGACCTTGAATTAAGAGCTTTTCTGGAAATTCGTTCTGCAAAAGAAAGTCAAGTATATAACAGATTAAGGCACTGGGGAAATCACAGAGTTTCTGAGTCCAAAGGGAGCTCCTCCCCATTTTGCAGATGAGGAAATGGAGGCCCGTGGTGGCTCCCAATGTCTTCCAGCCCCTTGCTGCAGGTGCAGGGGGCCTCAGCTATGCTATGGGTTCCAAGGATGAGTCCACTTCACAGCAGGTTTCTGATTTCCCCAATTTTAAAATGCACAAAAATGGAATTTCCCCAAAACTAAGTGCTAACTCTAAGCATGGATAGATCTGAAAGAATATCTCATTAGAACTGATTGAAAAGGGCTCTCCCATATCTTTCGCTGCCCTGGCTGGTTGTTTTTTTTTTAAACACATGTTCGAAATACATACTCAACTTGGAAATATTTCTGACAGCCATAGATTTTTCCTGCAATGGCAAGTGCTGTAATGCCCTTTGATGAATTTTTCTTTTTCTTTCCATAAGATCTCTAGACTTTAAAATGGACGTGGCAGGAAGCCTTATCTCTGAGAGACATTTCCTCTGATTAAAAAGTACGAGAGAGTTTCCCAAGAAAAAGGATTAATAAAGCCGACTGTGATGGAGGGCAAACATTTAGATGCTGCAGTTGGGCAGCGTTCCATGATGAGATCTGCCTTCTACCTGCAGGACTGGTACCTTTCTGTGGGCCAGGTTTACCATTAAGACTAAATGCCCACTCTATCTCTCCTGCTGAAATGAGACATAATGCTGATGTTTCCTCACACCATACAACTTCTAGCCTGAGAAAATGGGATCTCCCCAAGCCAAGGAGACTTGGTGAAAAGCCACGGCACCCAAGTCCAAATTCCCATTGGCTTCAGCTCCCACCAGCGTACAGAATGGAATCTGGGAGAGGGGTGTGAGGGCAGTGAGAGAAGGGAGGACATGTGCTTAACCACGGCGCAAAAAAGGAGAGAAATGGAATTGGCTTGGGCTTTGAAGGACTTCCCTGAATAAAAGGATCACAATTAAAATGCAGGAATTGTTAATAGAACAAACCCCACTGTAGCTGGGAGATTGAGGAGAAGAACAGTAAGTTGGAGCTGCTGCAAGGGGACCCTGGGGAAGAATCTGGAGTCCATGGCATCTGGATGTAAGGAAATGCTTTCACTCAATGGGCTGCTAAATGGACAGCCCTTCCTTGCTCAGATCACCGAGGATCTGCTGGAAGATGCAGGTGGTATGGGCTACCATGGGGGGAGTGCTGGTCTGGGCTCAGGAGAACAGACACACCAGTCAGCTGAATCCTACCAGCCTGCAATCTCCTCCAGGGCATGGACCGTGTTTCATCCAACTTACATCTCTGGAGCACAACGTTAGGTAGGAAAGCCCATGTGATAAAGGTTTGTTGAGAGAATGTATCCATTTAAGCTGAGTCTCTGAGTACCGGAGTTCAGCCAGAGAACAATTTACATAGTAAGAGAAGGGGAGATGCATGGAGTAAGTGTCCCCATCAGTAACTTTCCATTCCTGATTCCTGGGGACGATTGGACACACACATCAAAGCACTGGCTCCTGCCCTGTGGAATGCTGTGGGTTGTTAATTGTATGCTCTATCTGTATCCCTCAACTGGCACTCATAGTCTCTGACACTGACTCATGCATATACAGATGCAAAACACAGCAGCATTTTACCAAGAGGCTCTCTTAACAAAATAATGTCACAGATGTGCAAACTAACAGTCTTCCCTGCTTAATGAAGCCGCAGCCTCTGAGAGCTGAATCCATCTTCTCATCCCCTGTACAATGCTCTTTCCCTGGTCCCCTCCACTAGAAAAGACCGCTGGCCAGGTCACTTGTAGCTCTCAGCAATTGTCCTTCCAGGACTGTCTAGCAGACTCTAGCCTTGTCTTTTCGGTAGCTTTGAGAAAAGTCTAAGCACCCCTTTGCTGGTATTTTTCTTGTTTGGTGATCTTCTCCAGATCTCCTCTTTTAAAAAGTTAGAGGTCTGGCGAGATCCCTCTTGGGAAAGGCCACACTTTGGGCTGACTCCCTGGCTGCCTGCTTCCCACTCTTGGGAGAGCATTTGAGACTCCTGTTGTGCTGATAGAGAGGGGGAAGGAGGGTGGAAAGGGGGACAGAAAAGGGGAGGCCTTTCCTCATTTTTATTTTGTCTTTTGGCCTTTCAGGGATTCTTGTAATAGGAACAAATCTGACTCCATATTGGATCTGTTTCTTTTACTTTAACCTCTGTATTCTATTGCTTTTGCTATAAGAATGTTGCCTGTAGCGTGAAATTTACAAGCTAGCCCACTGTCAAGGCTCTGACCTTTAAAGGTATAACACTTTTCCATTCATATAGAGATAAAAAGTTGCAGGACAGAGAATAACATGTGTCTGGTTGGAGGTTTATAGGAACATTGTGACCAGACCTACTGGGACAGCTGCAAGAACAAAGGATCCCGGAACCAAGAAGTTTGCAGCAGCCAACCACACCCCCTCCCCTTTTAGTATTAAAGGAGGCTGAATCCTAACTCAGGGAAGATGGTTCTTTGAGACATGAGTCCATCATCTTCTCAGTCTGCTGTCTTTCCAAATAAAGTCGCTATTCCCCACCCCAACACCTCATCTCTCAATTTACTGGCCTGTTGTGTGGCAAGCAGTACGAGCCTGGACTTGGTAACATTCTGAGAACATAATGTTTGTGTCAATTCATTCCTTTTCTGAAACTACCTTCCCTCCTACATAGCCGATAGGGCTGTTATAAATAAATTATTAATATACACAGAGCATAACTGACTCATAGTAAATGCTCAATAACTATTAGAATTAATTTCATTTTTCTTTCTATTACTACATATATTTTTTGTGGTTTCAAAAACTGTTGTTCAGACTTTTAGTCTGTTTCTCTGCCTGAACCCTGTTTTCCGCTCATAATTCTAACAAAGATTCTAGCTGCCATTTCTGACTACAACCTACAATATAAATAAAAAACACAAATCAAAGATTAAGTGTCAAGTGCTGGTACTGCTTCTAGCTACTCCCTTGACACCCAATCAGGAGACAGACAACTGGGTTTCAGTCTCTGCTCTGCGCTTTTGGCCACGTGATTTTGGGGAATTTGCTGCTCTTCTCCAGGTATCAAACATTTTCTGTTTGTAATTTCAAGAGCAAACTCAACCCTCCTGGTCCTTTAGCTCTGACATGTTATGGTTTCAGGTGAAACCCTTTTAAAGAATGCATGGACTAAAATTAGCACAGACTCCTTTTTCTTTTGCTCCCACTCTTTTGGCCTCCTTCCTGCAGTATCTTTCCCAGCCTCCACCAGGCCCATCCTCCCAGACAGGCCCTTGGTCATGCGTCTAGCAGAGGAAGAACACTTCCATCTGTGGTCCTCTTTCTGGCCTTTTTCTTTGTGAATTACATCCCTGTGGCCCCTTCCCCTGATGGACTTGACAGTGAAGGAGTCAAAGGCACACATAGGAGATGGCCAAAGGGTCACTGCCCTGATTTCTACCTCCCTCCTTGAAAATCTCCTTTGAGGGACCGCCTTGCTGAGAACTGATAAGCACAATGGTCGTTTCTCTCACAACTGGCTACAAAAACCAGATTACAACTCACAGCACTGTCTTTCCAGTTAGGAATCATGCTTTTTCCTGTGTTACTGAAAGCCTTGTAGGATGCTTACTATTAAAAACAAGGTCTTATCACATCACAAATTAAAAAAAAAATTCTTCGGGTATAATTTTTTTTAAGTGTGAACATTTGCATATAATTTAAATGTCCTTGAGGGATAAAAATGGAGGCCAACACTGAGAACTCCCACAACACAAGTGAAGCATTTTCCTGCCAGGTGGAAGCCTGAGTGGAACAGGCAGCTCTGTTTCTCCTTTGTTTGTAGCCAGTTCGGCCGCTACCAGTTTGCTGCTGATACTGAGTTGAGTGGTGCGTGGGGGGAGACCTTAGCCTGTACCCAAAGACGTGAACGGTCTGCGAACCTGGTCAGGTTCTCTTCCAGAGGACCCATGGGTGGGTTGTCTTTAGGACCACCACGTTTACTAGTCCTAATAAAAGGGAAACTTCTCAGAACCACTGGAACTGCCACGAGACCAGAGCTGTTCAGCTGGCCTTGGCTTCCCCTGGGTTGGCCTGGTCCCAGGGAAAACTCTGGGGAAATTGTCAATGGACAAAGCAGGGGACAGAGAGAAAGCACTGCCAAATGGTAATGCCAGCAACCTGGGGAGGGACCAGCCTCTGCATCCAGACGTGGAGTAATGCATGTTCCTGCAGCGTCTGAGGGACAAGGTGTGAGCATGCTCGGTTAGTATCTTGGGGGAAGTTTTCCCACACTCGCCACCACTTTATTTTTTAATGAACAGTAATACCACTGGGATAATCTTTTAATGCCATTTCTGTTTTTTTTCCTTTATGTCATTCCAGGTTTATTCTACAGATATATATGAATATCTATCCATTCCTCCTTGATCAGAATCTATTAATTGCGATTTCGGTTTGATAGAAAAATTCTTAAAGATGTGTCATACTCTCAAAAAAATAAATATGAAGGCACCTGAATGTCTATCTAGGAAGCCTGGATGAAGAACAGATGACAGAATTCTTTCAAAGATTTAATCAGGTAAATTTGCCACACTGTAAACTCACATGACATGAATTGTGTGTGTCTGAGAAGGCTCTGGGAGACCCACTACTTTACCTGGCGGGGAGTCACGTGGGAACACGCACTAGCTGAACGCCCCACTCACCTTCACTCCTCCCCCGACCTCGTGTCTCCTGGCCTGGAAACAGCCAGTGGCACAAGAGCTCAATGTCACGCTCTGGCCACAGAAAAAATGCTGTATCCTCCTTCTCCCTGAACATCTGGTCGTCTTTCCCCCTTCACCCAATAATCAGTAGAGCATGCTGGTCAACAGCAAGATGTACGAAACAAAGATACATCAATTTTAATGTACAGGCTTCAAAGTTCAGGTCCTTTTAAACTGTGCTTTTCGTTATTCAGAAGACCTTGCTGTTGCTTTTCCATGACAATTTGTCATTTTGGTCAAACAACTTTAACTGGACTTAAAACAATGCTCTCTAGCTGCGTGAAGGTAGCCCTGATTGTGGCAGCATCTTGAAGACCATATGAAAGAGTTCCTGCTGGTGCACAGCCACTGCTGTCTCCTCAGTGGAGAAGGATCCCAAGGACAGGTTCCACTTCCTAACTCTGGAGGCTGGGACTGCAACACTGTATTTTCCCCTCCCCTGCTGCTCTGACTTGTCACTAGGCAGTCCCTGCGAGCAGCAGCGTGGAGATGGCTCCTAGACCCCAAACAGGGGAAGCTTTCCTGACCTGCCTGTTCACACCACTGGCTCACTACCTGCATGGGGTACTGTTTGCATATTCAGGAGTGTCCTTTACTAGAGCACGTCCTCTTTGCTCCCCACATCGGAGCCATTAGCACAATAGTTCTCTTTTCAGAAAGCAGTGCTCTAAGTATTTTGTTGAGAGAGAACAGAATGAACTCACACATACTTCACAGGCTCTTCCAGGAGGAGGAGGTCAAAGTCAACTAAAGAAGTCTGTTACATGCCAGAAAAAAATGTTTCATAATCCTGAACTTCCTGTTGCCCCCAATTAGGCTGTGGAATTACTTTCTGATTGTCGGCATATTCTAAATATTATCAACCTCTACTGACAAGTTAACCTATAACAGGAAACTCAACAGACAGAGTATAATCCACACTGTGTTATCTTTATTAGATATACTTCGTCCTCCAAAGTTTATATGAAGCCCAGTGACTCACCATCCATACATTTGGTTTGGCTGGTCTGGTTCATACATTTTGTTACTCTGGGTGTAAAGGAACATTACATAGTTGATTCGTGCTTGAATTTTTGCTGAAAGCTTGAGCATGAAAATGACTAATTTCTAAACTGAAGATCAGGATAAAACTGAACTAAAATGAAATATAAATCCAGATGTGTTTGGAGGTTATAATCCTGACCCCGTATCACAAACATGGGTTTTCTTTTTCCCCACCGAGCACATCCTTTAAGGACTCATCACTGCACAAAACTAAACTATACATAATATCTCAAGCTCTTATGAAATATCAATAATTATGATTTGTTTCTAAAATAAACAAAATAATCTAGCAGTACGGATACAGGTTTTAAATGCTACAAGAAGAAATGGGATATAACATAATGAAATGTAATGAGCACTCCGTCTTCTAAATCTACTTGTGATTCTAACATATTCTTTCCTGTTGCCTTCTAAGCTATATTAGGAACCCCCGGAGACAGGGCAAGACACTGTAGGAATATGTTTGATATATAGTTGGATTAAATAACAACCTAATATATCAAACATATCACACAGAGGCCTGCAGAAAGGCATCCAGGTCTGACTGAGCTGAGAATGGGCACAGCATGGCAGGCTGCAGCCGCGGGGGGGGGGGGGGGGCGGGGGGAGTTGGTGGGGACGCCATTGGGGCACCTCTGTTACCTGTCTGTGGAGCACAGTGTGTCTGCAGGTGTGGAAACGGCGCCATCATTAGTATCATAGGCACATGCACCAGGGCTCACCGACATTCTCATTTTGCCTTTACACCATCTTCCCAAGCAAACAGTGGACTCAGCGATGCCAATTTGTTATTTGTGTCTGGGCGATTCCAGGCAAAAAGAGGTGCTTACGTTTTAAGGGCCTGAGGTGGGAATATACCACGAACCATCTTCAATAAACCCCAGACCACTCTATTATTAAAATAGGCAACCTGAGAATGTGGTGAGCAAAACAATTTAAACAAAAACATTGCCCATCTCCCAAACTCCCTCAAAGCAGTGCAAATGCTTCCCAGATATGGAAGCAAAGCATATTCACCCGATAGTGGGGTGCCTGCAGGTTTGTATGTGAGTTACAGGGGTAGAGGTGAAACAGCAATTGCTTACTTACAGAATCCTGAGGATTTGTGATTAATTTGATTGAGTTTAGTTTTGGAAGGGGATGGGAAGAACTGGTTAATCTCAAAAGACTGGTTGACTTTTGATGTTAGATTGGGATTTTTTTCTTTTTTTAAACTGGGGAAAAATTCCTTCTTGAAGTCAAGAAAGATTTTTTTTTTCACGTCGATATTACTACAGAGCAAATGGCACTCCCAGACAGGCACAAAAACTGTGGTTTAGGTTGATGATTTCTTCAAAACAGTTTTATGGATAACATAATCCATGTGGTGGGAGCCTCTGGTCACTGGGTAGAGTAAGACTTCAGAGATCATTCTAAAGACTCTAGAAGGACCAAGTGCCCTTCCTAATAGGAAGATGGAAGTGACCTAGAGTAGGTACCTCCAGGGAAGGGACTCAAATCAACAGTTATGTCAACTGTGACCTTGGCTTTCTGTAAAAATCCACACCACACTATAAACAGAAAGGCTAGATGATCCTAGGGCAGTATAGGGAATGCCCACTGGCCCAGTGTGGCAGTCATCACAAACTTTTTAAGTGCTGTTATTTTTAAAACATTGTCTTACAAAATTGTAAAACATAGACCCTCCCATCACTCCAATCCCACCATCATTCTTGTCCATCCCCCACCTGTCTCCTTCATTCACAAGTGTTTAACAGAGTTGTGATCATACTGGGTACATGATTCCACATCCTGTTTTACTTTTCACTTAATATTATGCCAGGAGCATCTTCTTCATGCTACACAGTCCTATCAACCATTATTTTGAGTAGCTACATGCTTTTCCTTCAAGCAGACACTCAGGTCACACCCAAATTCTTGCTACTGTGAACAAGGATGAAAGGAACAACCGTCTCACACACACAGAACTTTCTTCCTCTCTGGATTTCCTCCTCAGGACAGATTCCCAGAGGTGGGATTAATGGCTCAAGTGGCACAGGTAAACCAGAAACCTGCCCCGTGGGACTGCACCGGAATTTCTGACACTGGGTAGGCCCAGAGGACTGGTATGGCCTGAAACTGCCACCTCCAGGGCCCACACAATGCTGCTTCCAGCTCGGTCAAGGCCATCTGACTCTGGCAAGTAATTTGCCTCTGATTCTGCATCCCTAGAGCAGGGACGCCAACAACGCTGCCTTGTGGACTTGCCGTAAGGACCCGATGAGTTAATCTATGTAAAGCACCTAGAAGATTGCCTAGCACATGCTTGGCACTCAATCAACATGTGCTTTTAGGCTTTTTTTTCTTTTTTTTCTCTTTTTCCTAAGGCCATCAGCTCATGGATCTATGGAATAATTTTTATTTCAGGCATTCTCCTAGGAGGTAGTAGATAAAAGTCCTAGAATCATATTTTCAGTGATGGTGATATGCTGACTGCTTACTACGTCTATGGTATGTCAGGTACTGTGTTCCTAGATTATCTCATTTAATTGTTATATCAGCAACCCTATGGAATAGGAACTCTATTGACTGTTTTTCAGATCAAGAATCATGAGATAAATCCATAGCTGGACAGGGGGAAGCCAGAATTTAGGAATACACAAGAGCTCAGAAGGGCCCTGCAAAAGACAATGGGAAAGGGATTGGGACTGCAGCTCTTAGAGTATGGTGAAGAGTCAACGTGAATTAGCGCCAAGCTACTTCTCCAGGAGAAAGAGCATCAACTGACATGGCTCCAGAACCAGCAGACAGAAGCTTCCCCGAGAGAGGAAAGTATGTGGTGAATCAGATAAGGAAAAGGAAAAACGAATTAAGTTTAAGGCCTCTAAACCTCAGTCAACGGCTGCTGCTTCTAAGCTGAAAGTACATTTTCTACTCACGATTAACTTATTTTTATAAAGCAGAAATAAAGCCAAGTCCAGAAAATGGAGTTGCCCTTACACCTACACTTAGCTCTGAAGTTTGTTGAGAAAAACTTGGACAAACTTAGACCACCTAAGACCCTCAGGTTAAGGAAAGAGGACCCTGGCAAACTCAAAACCCAGAGGCCAAAAATCTTAAATTACATCTTGATGAGAAATTCTAAAAATGCCTTTATTAAATCTAGAGTGACAATCAGGAGACTGGCTCTAAGAATTCCACGGTTTTGAGAATGTCCGCAAGTCTAACAGATTCACTATATGTCCAAGTCTATTTTACATACAGCATCAGCCCGGGAACTGCTTTTGAGTGCTTTGGTATATTCCAGTACTCAAACTCCATCCTTAAGTTTTTGTTTTTTTTTTAAAAAGGTAGAATTTTAGGCACCTAAACTGGGAGATACAACTTTTTTGTTTTGGAAGAGAAGAGCCAGGTTTTAATTCCTAAGGTATCTGGATCCTTGGAAGGGAGGTGGGGTTACAGGAACCAGTAGGGACTTGCTTGAATAGAAAGATAAAGAGGCCTCCTCTGGTTCTACCATCTTCCCACTGAAGACAGCCATGGGGGCAGGGGGACTGTGGCTTCTTTACAGGGTTGGGCTTTGCCCCCTGGACAGCACCAGGGCACCATTCTTCTTTGTAACAATTGTCCTCTCTACTGTCCTTACTTAAAGTATCTCTTTCTTTTAAATGACTTTCTCTTAACACATACTTATGATCTTAGTAACTAAATTCTCAACATTTATCTAGATGACAAACATAGATGGAGAAAACACACCAGCCAACCACAGTCTCCAGCATATACTGAAAAAATCTGTTACCGGGTCCACTTTTGAGGTTCACACTACCCTCTATTGATTTTAAGAAAAGGAGAGACCCAGCATTGCTATTTCTGGTGAAAAGCATTATGGAAACCAGAAAATTAGAGGGTGACAATCTCACATTCAGCAACGGGGACTTTCTATAGAAAACATCCAACACCTGCTTTATGTAACAGCGGAACGAAGTCAAGATTTTAAAGGCCGGGATTCTTCCTCTCGACACCCAAAGGTATTTCTTGGGATGGTTAACCTGAAAGACCCACCCTTGGGTTTTTTTCCATACCCTGTAAAAAGGTGCTGGGCAGGTAGAACAGGTTTGCAGCTTGCTAGTCCAACCCCAGGGAAGGAGACGAGCTCCCTGCAGCCCATCTGGCTCCATTTCACAGCCATCTACCGGGAGACCTACTGACATCAGACAAGCAGCCACACGTGGACACTCACTTTTGGTTTTGCTCTTGGCTTCAGCTGCTCTAACTTCTTAGCAGCAGCCTCAATGGATGCTGCAGCCCCCAGTAATTCTGTTTCTGCAATGACGGTTGGGTCTTCTGGATCCACCCACTCTGTTCCTAAAAGCAGTCCAAAGAGGGTCATTCTTGGTAGCTGCAGACCTCAGGGCAGTGACTTAATTACAAATGATATCACGATTTGCATGCAGGGATGCTGACTAGCTGCGTTGTCCTAAGGGATCTTTTCTCCAGCTGTCACTAACATCAGCTGGGTGCAGGGGTCGGGGTGGGGAGTGCCTGTCTGACCCTGATTTTCTCCATCAGTTGTATAGACAGCCCTACCACAGGATCAGTCATCAACGATAGTTTCAAAAATCGAGATCTCATTGACCAAGGCCTGCTTGAGTTTTACTCTGACTTGTAACTTAAAGTTCATGAATGCAAGTAAGCATCCTCAGGAAACCTGAGACTATGCTGAGCACAGAGATTTGTCATTCTTTTCTCCTGGGAACTCAGGAGGAATAGCCATTCCCCTCAAATGCAAACAAAGGGAAACTGGTAAGAAAACCCCTCCCGGGTGAGTTGATTGCTTCTTCATAACCACAAAGGGGTGTGCAAACAATACACTACCCAGATAGCACCGTTTCTAAACACCAAGTGTATTATTTAAATGAGAATAAATATTCTGATGAAGGAAAATGCAGTTAAAAATGGATGGCAAGACCCTTAAAAGAGAAGTGAGCGGTCCTAGATGGATCATGACATTTAAGTTGAAGGACGTAATACAAAGACTGGAGAAAAGACTTGTTTCAGGAGAATATTAACTTTTTAAGTCTAACTCTACTCTCATTTGCTTCTTAAAAAAAGTTCCTCACTGTGTTCCTTTTGACTTCATTTGCCAAGAGAGGGCCTGTGTAGGCTGCCCATCCTCTCTGCTCAGTTTGCTGTCTAGGACTGCCCCACAGGACGACACGAGAGAATCCAGCCTACCTTTCATGGCCTCCGCTGCCTGGATGAGCTCGGTCACGGCACCGGCCACGCGCTTGGAGAAAGCAGCCAGCTGGTGCTTGAGTTCTGGGGTTGGTTTCTGAAGAATCTATGGGTGAAGAACAAGCCAAACGCATAAGGAAGGCGGTAGCCATTGTGACAGGAAGCCCACTCTTGCTGGTGGACGCAGAGCTAGACATCCTGGTTTGAAGTTGCAACTCTGTCACCAAGTGACTTTAGAAATTTAGGGGAAAACACATAAGACGCACTGGGCTTCAGTTTCCTCACGTGAGAAATGAAAAGCTGGGCACCAGGAGTTTTCCTAAGGTCTTTCTGACATACTTCCCTAAGATCAC